GAGCACGGGGTATGTGGGGGGTGTGGGGCAGTGGGCTGCAGTCCACGCCACGTACACAGATAAAAATCAAGCATACAATGTCCGAAAAACAGAGGGGAAACAGCATGTAGGGAGGGGCAGGGAGAGGCCAGAGAGCAGCAGCAGAGGACGTGTAGCCAAGTCGACACCTGCATGGCCATGGGACCACAATCCTGCTGCTGCTGCTCCTGCTGCTCCTGCTGCTCCTGCTGCTGCTCCACCGATAGTTCCTGTTCCATAATCATGATGGCTGGGCTCCTTGCCCAGACAAGATCTCGTTGCCCCCACCGCACTCCGTTTTGTGTATTTAGCATAAAATCGAGAAATATCCAAGTTGGCAGAACTTTGGGGATTTTCGTGCACATTTCTCTGGTGCTGCTGCTCTGCCGCACGGCTCTGCCAGCGGTAGCTTAAAGTATGGTAATTCCTTTTGAACCACCACCAGCAGCAGCAGCAGCAGCACCACCACCACCACCACCCACACCTCACACCCCCCAAACCCAAAACCCACACCCACAGAGCCAAAGTCAAGCCACAAATGCGACTTTCGGTTCGGTTTTGGCCATGGCCTCCTGGGCCATCTCTCTCCGTCTATCTCTCTCCCCCTCTCTCTGTCTCTGGCTCTCTGGCTGTGTCGTTTTTTTTATGGCATAGATTATCATAATTATTGTAATACTTTTGCATGGCTTGACTTTGCTGCTGGCAAACCACCCGGCAAAGCGAGTGGCAGGACAGAGAAGGGCCGGGCCGGGCGGGCAGGGCAGGGCAGGGCAGGGCAGTCAGTGCCTTCCCTTCCCCCCCGTTGTACTCGCTTTGGGCTTTTGAGCTTCAGTGATTTGCATTTTTCCTTGCCTTTCTCCTGCTCGCCTTTCTCCTTACTATTTATAAGCTTTGGCCAGGGAGATGGAGGGCTAGAGGACACAGAGATATGTGCGTACTACGCCAGGCAGAGGGGAATGTTGCTACACATGGATGACCTCTGTGTGTGTGTGTGTGTGTGGTGTGTGTGTGGCATTAAGGTGTTGTTGCTACTTGCTACTTGCTGCTGTTGTAACATCTCCCCTGGGAGCTGAGACGAGCCCAAAAGACAGACGGAGAGCCCCAGTTGGCAGCCAGTTAGCATCTGTTGAGAAAAATACGAGACGCACAGGAGCACGCATAAGGCTGCCCCCTGCCCCCTGCCCCCTGCCTCCTGCCTGATCCCACCACTGGGCTGTAACGCGCTGAAGCGATCAATCAATTGAAATGACTTTCAGTGGGCACAGCCGATGAGTTTTCGATTGCAGCCAGATATGGCATCGGATCACAGTTGCACAGCCCCCAAGGGCTGGCTCTCTTGTTCCCACTCCCCACAGTGCCTACATATATTTGCAACTCAGATCTTTATCTGTCATTATCTATCATTGACCCGCCTGATGCCCCAGAAGCGGCTCCTATGCCCAGCTAACTTAACTTCCAGGCAATTGCAGCAGTCGGTGGCCTGCTTGGGGCTGGCTTGGCACACTTCCAGCATTCAGTCTGCACTGCCATAACTCCTGACCCCTAGCAAAAGTTGCTAATCAACAGTAACAGGTCGTTAAGTAACTGTACCTTATTGTCTGCGATAATTGTTTACAATAAACTTACAAAATAAAGCTAAAAAAAAAAACAAAATAAAAAAAAAACAAAATTCCATAATTAAGAGCAGATCCCCAGTCCCCAGCTTCGTTCAAGCCCACTCTAGCATGGCCTCTGCCAGATCTACCAGCTATACCTTGGGTGCAACATTATTAGTGTTCCCTTGATCTATTGCCAGCAATAGCTAGAAATTTGATAGAGATGAATAGACTACTCTTGGGGTAGAGTCTTGTTGTATTTAATTCTTGTTTTTTTTTAGCTAAATAATAGAAAAATAATCATTATTATTATTTGTATAAATCTCCTGACGATCCTCTCTGCTTGTGTACCCGAAAGGAGTATCCCACAAGGGGAATGCAGTGCTCTTATTGAATCCTGTGCATCAGGTGGATGCCACTGCACTCCGCTGGCTGAAGCAGGGGCAGGCGCTTAGGCAGGGGCAGTGGAAATAAAAAGTTACAGATGCATTTAAGGGCACATATGGCAATTTCTGGTCACAGTCCCCGTGCTACGTGGCAGACCAAAAAGCGGAATCAAAGTAATGTGATATATAGTCTCTGTTTCAATCGTGCCCACCCTCATGCCGCATGCCTCGTGCCGCATGCCTCCTGCCTCCTGCCTCATGCACTGTGCATCTGGTCTGTACTCTCCCTGCCCCTCTTCTCGCTGTGGGCTTCTCGCTCGCTGTATAATTAGATGATCCCCAAATCAGCCGCTAATTTTTCCGCAATTTGCTTAGTAATGCAATCTAAATACAAACAAAATAGTTCCCTTTTTTTTCTTTATTTGGTTCCGAGCACAGATCCACATTTTCAGGGGTGGACGGACGGACAGGCGGACGGGCGGACGGGCGGACTGAGGACTCGTTTCAAGGTTGGTTGGGTGGGTTTTGGGGTGGTGGATGGTAAATGGGAACTCGGCTCGACGGGCCGTGAAATACACACTCGAAAAAGTGAATGGCATATGTACACATACAACTCGTACGGTATGGTGTGGTATGGAGTGTATGCCCCGGAGTGTTGCACATGTCCCTGTGCGGCAAAACAAACAACCAACCAACCGACAGACCAACCGACCGACCCATCGACTGGTATGAGAATGAGAATTGGGTGTGTGTGTGTGTGTGTGTGTGTGTGTGGGGGGGTGGGGATTCCAGTGTAAAGGAAGGGCCAGGCCACCATGTCAAAGCCAAGCGCGACAAGCGACAGGCGAAGGATGCGAAGGATGCTGCTGCTGGGATGCTTTGGACTTTAGCGGCGCATCTCTCTGATCCCAGCGGGAGGCTTGGCCCGAAAATCACAGCAGGCCCAAAAACCCAAAGCCCACAGCCAGGGCCATGAGGGATACGCAGAGAGAGAGAGAGACGTTGGCTCGTGACTGGTGTTTTGAGCTGTTTTGGGGTTGACCTGTCACCGTCACCGTCACCGTCAACCGCCTGCCATCGACAACTCTCGAGTACTCGATGTCCTCGTACTCGTATTCGTATTCGCATTCGCCGTACTGTAATACTGTTGCAAATACCTCCCACTTACCCCCCTGCAGCAACATGGCACGCCTTCTGCCTTGTGCCGCCCTGCCGTGTGGCCCCTGCCGCGCAACGGTACGGGACGGGTCGGGTCGGGTCGGTGGGGGGTTCCTTGTCTTTAATTTCAGCGCATTTGGCTTTTGTAACGTGATTATCAGACGATTTGATTTGGCGCTAAATGCAATTGCCAAATGCCAAAGTCAACGGAGCGGCGGAAACGTGGCAAGGGGGAGGGGGAGGTGGAGGGGATAACGCTGAATGGAATAAACGGGAAACGGAAATCGGGCCACAGGCAGCGGCAGAGAGCGGCAGAGAACGGAAAGCGGAAAGCGGGATGCTGGTAAGCGGAAAACGGAAAACGGATCCAGTTCCACAGCCAGCGACGGAGACAGAGACAGAGACAGAGACAAGTGCCAGCAATTTCGAGGGCAGGGCCATGGAAACACTTCTGATAAGCCAATTAACCCCCCCCCCCCCAAACAAACACACACACACACCACACAACAAAATCAAATCAAAACGCAAAAATAAATGGAAAATCAGTTGAATCTTGAATGGAAATGGAAAGTTGCCCTCCTCCTCCTCCTCCTCCATAGAGGCGCCTTCGCAGCGCAACTGATTGATGGAGGAAACCCATTCGAGTGGATCGAAGGTCCCACAGATTGTTGTGGAAAGTTCTCTCGCACCTTGGCCAGTGAGCAGCGAAACAGAGGCCAGGATTGGAGTGGCTGCAAGCTGCCACACAGCTGCTGTGGCAACACACTTCACTTCAGCATTCCACTCCAGTCCATGCCACGCCAGGCACGTAGCGGCGACTCTGCAAATAGAGGCACAGCAGCAGCAGCAGCAGGGCGTCGCCTCGCAGCCCTTTGGCATTTACCTTCAGGTCAGTCGGGGACCCGACAAGTGGCAGCATCCCGCTCAACGCTCAACAGAGCCCGCCTGTGCGTTGACAAACAGCAAACACTGTGCCACCAGCGAAGCGAATGGAATGGGTTATGCTACGATTGCAACGGATCAACAAATCGCAGATGGAACACAAGTGCCGGATATGTGATTGTCCTCCCACGGAGTCCAAGGAGTTGTCCCCATGTCCAGGTGGATGGCTGCTCCTATTCCGCTGGTTCGCTGTTTGAGCTTAAATAAATCTTAAAACGGAAGACTCTGACTCTGGTGTGGGGAGAGAATTTCCATTTTCTATTTGCCATTTTCTATTTTGTGAGTTTTTGGCAAAACACAGCCGCAGGCGCTTGTCCAAAAATGGTTTCGCAATGAGTTTTCGTTATCCTCAAACTCTTTCCTTTGCTGTCTCACCCCCTGTCTCCCCCTGTCCTTCCTGTCTCTCCGCCCTCTGGGGCTTTGTTTTGTGAGCAAAAGTTGCAAAAGTGATTCGACAGACGACAGGAAGAAGAGCTGAAGGGGGACCCCAAATCAAGCGGAAGGCCAGTGGAAGTCCTTGAAGACATTCGGCGGGGTCCTTGCTACCTGAAGTCCGCCCGCGGGCAGGAATGGCTTCCACTGGCTTCTGGCTTGCTTGAGTGGCCAGCTTGGCTTGGTGCAGCACCTAACTCGCCTGGGCAGCACCTAACTCTGACTGCAACTGCAACCAGTGCTGCCCAGCGCCTCGACTTATCGATTGCAGGCAGGCCATGAAATTCATTTTTGACATTTATTTGTTTGGAACCCGCAGTGGAAAATGTCTCAGTTCAGTTTACTTTCGCCGCCCGTTCAGTTCAGTTCGTTTTTGTTCCCAAAATGGGTTAATTTCCCAAGTTTTATTATGTGTTAGTTTTAATGACAAAAATTTGAAGATTGCCGCGACGCAAGTGCAGCGTGCCACTGTGGCCAAGTGGTCGTACATTGCATTCCACCGGGCCATCGGTGGCCGTGTCGGCGCCAGCTTTCCTCTACAGTAGTTCGCAGATCGAAGATCGAAGTGGAGGAGGAGGAGGATGGCTCTTATCCTCCGTGACAATGCGTTGGTGGTCCTGCTCGATGCTGCGCTCCCTGGCTGCCAGTTGCACATAAAGTATGACAGCAGGCCACAAAAAGTGTGGCCGCCTGCTTACATATTGTCGTTTCTTTGCAGTGCAATGGCGTTCGAGGAACCTGCAAGGGGCTGCATTCGGAGGCAGAGGTGTCCAACCACAGTACAGAGATGTGGGGACTGATTGCTGGTAGGTTCCGCCAAAACTTGCCAGCTGCTGACCCATGCGAGAATGCAATGATTCTTCCACAGGATCCTGGATGATATTTCTGAGCTCGTAACCCAGGGTTGCCTCCAACTGCCGTACTTTATGGCCTGCAAGAAGGAAGTTAACATCCAACAGGACCCCAGCGCAGTGTCAGGGAAGAAAACAGCTCTCCTCTGGAGACAGTAAATAAACATTTAGAGCTGCGATTGCTATGATTTATTTTTTTGGGTTAATGGGGACTTGTGTCTTGGGGGGCAGGGAGGGGTTTCAGGACAGGACTCGGCATATCCTTCGATGTGCTGCCCAGACAGAGCAGAGTCCTCCCGGAATTCCTACATTTTGGCAACTCTTAAAGCGACTATTAAACGGTTGCCAGAGTTGCCAACGCACTTCTATGTGTCTGTGTGTGTTTGTGTGTGTGTGTGTGTAGCGACAGGTAATTGTGTTTCTCTCTCTCTCACTCTCTCTCTCTGTCGCTCTCTCTTTCGGCAAAACAACAATAAAAACGATGACAATGGCACTTTTTCTTGTTGGTTGCTGTTTGTTTGCCTTTGGATGCGAGTAGGGGTGGGGAGGGGAGTGGAGTGGAGTGGAGAGAGAATAGCAGATGGGAATGGAGATAGGGTGGAAGTGGGGGAGTGGAGTGGGGGATGGAGTAGTGCTGCTGTTAGCCTTGAGAGCAGAGCAAGTGCGTCCTTCAATCTACTGCTTGCTCTCTCCTCCTGCCACCTCCTCCTGCCTCCTGCCTCCTGCCTCCTGCCACCTCCTCCTGCTCCTCCTGCCTTGCTTTTGCGTGGGGAAAACTCATTCAAAGTTGAACGCAATTTTTCTTTTCACACACACACACACACGCATGGTGGCAAACATATGTGTGGGCCCCCAACCCCAACCACTGCTCCGCTCCCCCAACCCACGTTGCTTACAGCATTCATTTCCTTCGTCGTCGTTTACCTTGACGCAACCCCCGACCCCCACCAACACCCCCACCACCCCCCAGCCACACATCACACTCCACGCCACTCGGCGCCTCCTTCCAGGGGGTAAAAGGCAAACAAAATGTGTATAAAAATAAAAAATGATAAAAGTTGGCAGATAAAAATTACACACACACACACACACCACACACGCACACGCACACAGAGAGAGATAGGCAAGGCAGCTGCGTTGCCAATTCACCTGCATACAAAATGGCGTCGCCTACCGCCCGTCCCCCCCCCCGTCCGCCTTACCCCTCCGCCATGTGCCACTTGCTCATTCTTCGTCCTCGTCGTCGTCCTCGTCGTCGTCCTCGTCGTCGTCGTTGTTGTCGTTGCGCACCAAAACTCAATTCCAACCCCCCCAGATCCCCCCCCACATTCAGCACCAATCTCCATCTTCACATCCCAGATCCCAGATCCTTCCCCCACTCTCCCCCCTCCCACCATCCGTGCAACATACAACAATAACAACAAGAACAACAGCAACAGCATCCATGTCGGGGAATTGTAATTTTTCTTGCTTCATTTCCTTTTTGCCGTTTTTCGATTCGTTTTTCCTTTTGTGTGTATGTGTGTGTGTGTGTGTGTGTGTTTTTCGTATTTTCCTCTTTTGGCGCCTTCATTGAGAATAAGCATTCGACAGTGCCACACAGCGTGCCATGCCATGCCATGCCATGCCATGCCACACATTGTGTCTGCCACAGTGGGAGGCGGCTGAGAAGAAACCTAAAGGGAGCATCCATAACTTATTGAGGTGAACGAGAAGATTTTTGGCAAGGAAAGCGCTAAACAAAATGATTTTATTTTAGTATAAACTTTAGGCGTTTTTTAGAAAGCAACAAAAATGTGTTATAAAAGCTGTATGGAAATTTAAAATTAATAAAATTATATATATTTAATTAATTATTAAATTAGTAATTAAAATTAATATGAAAATTCAAGTTATTAATTAATATTAAAGTCAAATAAAATAAATATAAAATTTAACTTAAGTTTAAATAATAATTGTGTGCCCATATATATTTTGAATAAATAAATGGAATCATTACAACATATTTGTGGCATATAGAAATCAGAAACAAAGTTCTTCCAATAATAATTTATTTGTCAAAGTTATTCCCTTTGATTTCCCTTTTATTTCCCTTTTATTTCCCTTTGATTTCATTCCACTGTACAATGTGTCATGGCTCCATTCCATATCCATCTGTGGGTCCAGCCAGGCTTCCTTATTTCCCCGCTCTCTGATCCCTCCCCTGACTCCAACTGACTCCTCCCCTCCCCTCCACACCACTCCACATTGCGGGGCTGTGTGCGCTGTCTGTGCGTCTTTCTTTGTCCCATTTAACATCGTTCGCCCACACAAACTTGCAGTGCTGTGGCGCCCCCTCCCCCTCCCCCCCCCCACCCCCCGCTACCCTTTCCGATTTACCATCTGAATCCCCATCTCATTCAACATTCCCCATCCTACTACTACTCCTACTCCTACTCCTACTCCTACGCCTCCGCTAAGACGCCTTTGTGCACATTTTTCTTCTTGCGCCATGTTTGTTGCTGATACCCTCCTGATACACCCTCCTGCCAGAGCGGGTGCGGGTGGCTGTGGTTCCGGGCACACAATGGAAAGGGGGGGGGTACCCAGGGTACTCTCCATATTCCGATTGCTGTGTGTGTTGTGTAGGCACAGATCTTGTCCAAGATCCGGCAATGATCTGATCATTATGGGGCTATCAATGGGGCTCATTAATTTGCTGGCAACTTAAATGGTGCCATATACATATATATTGTATATGTATTATTATATATACATATATATTATGTATATATTCGTACACTGGTTCTACGTGAACAGTGTGCATGTGAGTGTATTTTATGATTCGTTTTGTCGCATTTGGTTTTCCCTTTTCGATGATAGTCCACCTTTTTTTCATTCAATTTCTCCATGGCCACACTTCTAGTTCTTCGCCGTGGCGCTGTGGCGCTGTGGCGCTGTGGCGCTACTTCCTCCAGTTCACCCAACGATTTCTTCTGCTCCTTCTACGCTTTCTTCCTCTGCTGCTCCTTCTTTTCGTACTACTTCTTCTGCTTCTCCTTCCCCTTCTTCCACTTTTCCTGCTCATATTTTTGTTCGCTACTTCTGCTAGTTCTTCTCGCCCTTCTGCTCCTTTCATTGCTCTCTCAATGAGAGTTCTCTGCCCTTCCACTTGGCAAATTTCGTTAGCTTCTTTGTGTGTTCCTTTCCCCCCCCCCGGGTTCGGTGGGGAACTAGTTCGGCTTCGGTTCTGCGGTTCCCTACGCTTGGCACAGCCCACAGCCAAATCAACTTCAAAAGCTACTTTTTCGAGAGGGTTTTGCTCCTTTATAACCCCCTTCCACCACTTGCCCTGACTTTCTTTCTATTCCACACCCCCACTCCACCCCACCAATTCATTTCGCTTTTCTTTTCTTTTCGTTTCGTTTCGTTTCTCTTTTTTCTTTTGTGGAGCGAATTTTCTTGTAGAACATAATTTATCTGTTTGTAGAACGAATGATTTAAGGTGCATGTTGTGCCACGGGGGGGCGGGCTGCGAGTGCGGGTGCTGGGGCCCAGTGTGGCAGAGGTGTGTGTGCGTGTGGTGTGTGTGCGTGTGCGTGTTTGTGTGTGTGTGTGCGGTGTGGCAGGAGAGGGCGACTGTCGCGAATGCAATTTAAATATTTGCATTTCGTTGTTTTTGTTTCGTTTGCTTTCCGGACGGTCGCTGGGAAATTGAGGGAAATTCATGGCACGTGTAAAACGCAGCGCCCCCCACTCCAGCGATCTTTGCCTTTGCCTTTGGTTTTTTGTTGTTGCCGGGTGAAAGTTCATTCGAATCCGAATTTCGGATGCCGCCTTAAAGCTTTAAGAAGTCGCGACAGGCGGGCGGGCGGGCGGGCGGGCGGTTGGGCGACATTTGCGAGGCAGCTGCAAAAATTGCATTATAGGGTAATTTTTTTTTTTTTACTCCCAGCTGCTGCTGCTGCTGCCGCCAGTCCCTCTCTCTCACTGTTTGACTGTCTCTCTCTATCGCCATTTTATTTTTGCGCGAAATGAAATTGAAGTGCAAGAAGGAGGAGCAGCAGCAGCAGCAGCAGCAGCAGGGGAGGTGCACCAGGAGCTTGAATATACGAGCAGGGACATTTACAGTTAACTTCATAAAGAAAATTTAACGAGCAACATCCTGTGCACGGGGCACGGGGCACCAGAACCAAGACCAAGACCAAGCCCAAGCCCAAGACCATCATGGATAAGGGTGCAGCGATGTGGGGATGGCTGATGGCTGATGGGGGCGCAATAAGGATGACGACAACAAGATAAAATGCATGCCTAGAAGGAGGGCAGGCCAGGCCAGGCCAGGCCAGGCCAGGGATCGGATGGAGACACGACAAAATACATTATACGAAGCGCAGGGGAGGGACGGAACGAGATGTCGAGAGCGAGGCCATGAGGCCCATCAGACGACGCTCATCATCATGTCGCAGCCCTCACCCACACCACGGATAACGTATACGTAATGCCCCAACAGCAGCAACAGCAGCAGCAGCAGCAGCAGCAGTTGCAAATCCCGGACACAGTCCGCCAGTAGCCAGTCGAGGAGGGGCACTGAAGCGGAGGCTGCCAATCCAGCGCAGCGGCAATGGAATGCCAGTTAACGAGTTTTCTACATTTTTTGTGTTTTTGTTTTTGCTTTTGCTTTTGTTTTATGCCGAAGCTCCTGGAAAAGGTCACACAGCTGTGGGATTACGTTTGCCACGTATTTGTTGAGAATATATGGGGATTATAATGAATAGCATGGCGGACTTTGATCTCCAACTAAGAATAAAAAAACAAAAACTAAACCAAGAATAAACGGCGCGCGGCGGGGGGGGGGGGCGGCAAAAAGAGAAGTAGAATTTTGTTTGCTTTGAGGATCTGAGCAGAAGTTCCTTGGGTAATTTAACTGTGCAAAAGTTAAGGTGAAATATGTACAAATATGTAAGAGGATTCTATGCCATAATTATAGTTCCCTCTGCCATACCAAATCATCCCAAAATATGCCCTAAAATTATAGCACTTAATATTTACCATCACCTGGAACTATCAGAGTTGTACAAATTCTATTCTTTCTTTTCTACTTCTATTCTATTCTTTCTTCTATTTCTTCTATTCTTTCTTCTATTCGATTCTTCCTTTTCTCTGCTGTATTTATCGTTCATTTGGAGTCCGTAAT